AATAAAAATGTTCGTCGTTGTTGGTTCAGATCAAAAATCAGAATGAATTCTTTATTTTATAACAAAAAACAACATGAGGAAGCAATGAAATACTATTTCTGAAATGAAACATGAATTTTTCGTTATTAGCTATGTAACTAGAAATAAGATTTAGGGTTAGGAATAAAATAAGAAAGAACACCAACACCGAAATTGAGATTTTCCAATAAGAGCGGGCGTGGGAAAAAGAACATCAGCCCTGAAATACGGCACACTGCCGCCATACGGCAACGCCAGCTGAGGAATAGCGCACTCACTCCGGAACAGCTGATAGTAATCGAATAAGTGTCACCGATCTGACAACACCCCTGCCTGTCGACCATCGGAAACTATAGTCTATCTGCTGGCGGTCGCCTATATAAATTGACCTCGAAGTCAGGGAAAATCACTTTTGCGGAACAGCCGTGCAGGAAACAACTGGTGACTGAATAGTAGTACTAACCCTAAATAAAGAAGTAGGACAGAGTTTGGCCCTGGTGGCAGATCTTGGTAGCTAACAATAGTAGGAAAAGGTGAAGGTAGCAGTGGGCCTAGGTCTGGCCTTGGTTGGCAGGTCGAGCAAAGTAGAACGGGAGGGAACGAGGTTGACCCTTGGTTGGCGGACTTCGGATAGCGAAAGTTAGGTGTGGGGCGAGGTCTGGCCCTAGATGGCAGGTCTCGCGGAAACAGAGTACTGAGTGCGGTCCGTATGACCAAACCCGTATTGGTAGTATGGACGTGGGTCCTGGTCTGGCCCTGGATTGCAGATCACGAGTAAGATCCGCTAAACTCGCGACAGTAAGTATAGGAGGGGACAAGACCCGGTCCTGGTTGGCGGATCTTGGCATGTATAGGGTAGCATCGCCCTTGAGTATCTGAGGGAAGCTGCGGAGAACACTCACCTGCAGAGACTAGCCTCGGTTGTCCACAGAGGAACAGGTTAATCCGATCTTCAAATCCAGTGATTTGAGCAGAGAGAGTGGTGAAAGCATTACATCCATGTGCCGCACCGATGCAGGAGGTAGCATAAGCTTTTCTGAAATCTGTGAAGATAACATCAACATCAACTCGTCAACAATTCATCAACATTTTATCGATGACAGGTTGATGAAATGTTGATGAAATATGGATGAAATGTTGACGAATTGTTGTTGACTTAGGACTTGGCTATGTTAAATTCATCAACAGTTTGTATTGCATTACATCGATGAATCATTAGCAAAATTCTTCCAAAATGCATACACTCTAATTAATTTCGATACCCACTCAGAGTATTCTTTTTCACTTCCGCACTCCACTTGCATTTGTTGCTGTCATCAGCATCGCGTTTAAAAATAACACCGAAACCGATGTTCTCTTCACAGATTTCAGAAAAGCTTTAGATTTAGTGATTTATCAGTTACTGAAACAACTGGTGAGTGAATAACCGCCTAAATAAAGCGTTAGGGAACGGTGCGTTAGGGAACGACGGACATCGTCCGGACCCACCTACCGTGACCACAGCAGAGGCCATTCCGCGACCGGTCACGCGACCTACGCATAGTCGCATCGCCTTAGGGTATCTGAAGGAAGCTGCGGAGAACACTCACCAGCAGCGACAAGCCTCTGTTGTCCACAGAGAATCAGGTTAATCCGATCTCCAAATCCATTGATTTGGGTCAGCGGCGAGAGCGGAGAGAGTGGTGAAAGCGTTTCTTCCAGTGTCTTTCCCCATTGTTGTTGCCTCCTCCAGAGGCCAGCGCGAGCGCGAAGAATCAGCGCCGCGCCCCAGAAAAACCTCCCCCAAAGGGGCTCCCGCGGTAAGCGCTCCCAAACCCAGGGCACCCACTGGCTATCGGTCCAGCGACTAGAGGCCCAGAAGCCGAGGGAAGCGCATGAAGAACCTTCAAGAGAAAATAGTGGCGAATGAAAAACGAGGCTCCTTCTCGGTCCCGCCCGGACGCAGTCATTATAGCCGCGAAAGGGAAATCCTACAGTAAAATCTTGGCCATAGTCACCAGAAGGGAAGACAGCCAGCTTTCAGGCCTGGGTAACTGGGATAAAAAGTCGGACGCACCACAAACGGCAACCTTTTACTAGAAATGGCGAAGGAAAACGTTGAGAGCAGCTAGCAGCGAAAAAGTCTGCCAAGCCAAGTGGAGTATCAGTGAGATCTACACGGCCAGCGACCACGAGGCTATCCTCATTTCTCTCGGCGAGAACCAACCACGAAGACCGGTTCTGCTTAGTGCAAGTAAGGCGTACTGGAGGACACGCTCAACGTCCAAGCTTTCTCGAGCGCTCTAGCGGGCCTAGCTACCGACCAGGCAGAGTGCTAACGAGGCTGCGCTCAAATTGGCGGACGCGATCGAGCTAGCATGCAACGCCAGCATCATCCTGCATCATCCTGGACACACGGCTCTGCTTCAGAGACCACCTGGAGTACATCCACAAAAAGGCCAGCGATACCGCAAGATCCCTGTCCAGAATCCTGCTAAACACCAGGGGGCCTAAGCAGTGCAAAAGGAAGCTGCTCACGAGCGTCGTCACGTCGCAACTCCTCTATGCAGCCCCAGCCTGGGCGGAGGCTGCAAAAGTCAAGAGCTACGTGAGGGAAGGAACCTGTTCCTGAGCGTCCTAAGAGTAGGGTGCGCCTTCAGGACCGTCTCCGATGACGCGGCCCATTGCGGGGCAGGTGCCGCTAGGCGAGCTGGTGCTAGAAGCTCAGGAATCCCGCCACCTATGCGAGCCGGAAAACTCTTCGACGAGGTGCTAGGCCAAAAGCAGCGCCAGATGCAGGAGCATAGTCCGGTGGCAGGTCAGGTGGGATAGTTCAACAAAGGACCGTTGGACTCAACATCTGATTCCGGACATCCAAAGCTGGATAGACCGAAAGCACGGCGAGGTGCATTTCTACCTGACACAGGCACTCAGTGGGCACGGTTGCTTTCCAAGCTATCTTAAGCGATTCGGCCACAATATCACAAAACCACAGGGTGCCATCAAGGCGATTAACGCGCGCATACATCGCGCAGTCGCATCGCCCGAGCAAGGGATAGCAGGAGCACACCCACCACAGGGCATCAGCCAGCCGGCAACTCACCGACGGAGCCACAGTTGCAACGATATACCCGTATCCAGGGTAGCAGTGAGACGCAAAAAATTATTTTTCAGTATGTAGTAAATGCCAGAAGAAGGTTATTACATAAGAAAATTTTGGGAAAACCTTCTGGAAAAGTAGCTAGCACACTGTTGTATGTAAAATTCTGAAACACACTACAAAGATCATAGCTACCTACGTTGATATTGTGTATCGATGAAATCGGTAAAAAAATACTTCAACAAAAAAATCGATACTCATTGAGACTCAACGCTCGCTGATGCCACTGTTTCTGCGTCAATGAATCAAATCCATACATTATTCGCAATAATCATAGCTACGTGTCATCCGTCGAACCCGACCGCATTGTGATACAAATACAAGGACCAAATGATATTTTTAACAGAGTACGCAGGACAACTTCTAATTTCACTCTTGGCAGTAACGAAGATATGTACGAAGACATGTGCATGCTCATTTGCGGCAGTCTACTATCGACATTGGGAATGCCAGCGCCAAATCGTTCAGTGCACGATACTTTCAATCGGAAATTTCGACGGGAGCAACACTACAATCTGGATAACGTGGCCGAATGAGTTCGAACAAATGTGCCGCTTTTGAATGTCGAGCAGAAGAAAGTTTACGATTCGATAATGAAGGTTGTTGACGATGAAACGGGAGGCTTATACTTTATCGATGCTCCTGGTGGGACAGGCAAGACATTCGTCATTTCGTTGATTCTGGCAACGATTCGGTCAAGATCTCAAAATGCGTTGGCTGTTGCATCATCTGGCATTGCTGCTACATTGTTGGAAGGCGGTCGAACAGCTGATTCCGCTTTGATGATACCCATGAATCATCTGACGGTTGACCAGCCAACGTGCACGATGAGCAAGAATTCAGCGACAGCGAAATTGATGCGAGAATGCAAAATCATCATCCGCTACTGAATTCTCGAGACATCTGCTGGCGCTCTTGATTCCATCAATCCGCCAAGACCGTTTCTGAGGGGTCATTATTTTAATGAAACCCCGATAGTAGTACGCTACATCCGCTTCAATTTAGTCACTTTTGCCGTTTGATCTATCCTAACAGACTTTCGTATACTCTAAAACCCTTTAACTTGAGAAAGCTGATGTATACTTATATTTAAAATAGTTCATGACTGAGAACATACATTTTTGAAATCAAATAATACCACCCTATTCAATCTGTAACAGTAAAAAAAGGCTTCTAAATAAAATTATTACATTTAATGTTCATCCTTACAAATTGTATTATTCAACTTTATATACTTCTATATATATGTAGAAGCAGGTAAATCACTTTTTGAACTGGAATGCCCTAACAGTCCAATGACAATTTATAATAATATATATATAATACATTTCATTTCGTACGGTATATCAAGTAATCTAATCTTATACGTAAATACTCTTACAAAAGTAAGTTTTATGAGCTGTTGATTGCATCTACTTAAATCTATGTTAAATACTAAGATCTAGTATTTAATCGAAACGCATTTATGCATTTTCTATTTCTAAAATCAGTTTTAATTAATATATTATTTACGACAATGATTACGATTTAGTTAATCGGGTTTTACTAGTTTTAAAATTAAATTAAATAATTAAAAACTCTGATATTATCTTAAACAATAATATAATGTTGGAGTTTTTAATAAATGTTTTTGCAATTTCATTTTATTTGACTAATTCGTATCTTATTTGTATTTATTTAATTTGTTATTGTTATAAAAAGCATTATATATATTTTGTAGTCAGCTATGTGGAAACGATCAGCCCATTGTAAACTTCAGTGGCTAAAAAAATGACAAAAGAAACAAAACTAGAAGACGTAAACTTGCCCTTATTCTGTTAGAATTATATAAAATATTTTTGCATACTAGGAAGCCAAATATGTTTTTATATATTGTGTAAAAGCTGCCGTTATCGTTCTGACATGTAAATTTTAAAATTAAAACTAATTTATAATTTTTATTTACACGTGTGCTCTTCGAGTACTTTTGTACAAACTTGACATTTAACCTGGCAGCACCAGTGGAACTTGCAATTGCAGCGCTCATTAACTATAATATTCTTAGTATTATAGCCCCGGCCACAGCAAAGTATGGCACAGCTGTCTAGTCCTGATGAATTTTTACGGCAAACACGTCCATGAGTACCTATTAAGAATGTAACTTAAGTGCTGACTTCTGAAATAATATTAATATATTTACCTGGCCAGTGTATTATGTGACTAGTACGACACCAGTCCGGGCTTTCGTCCATATAAATAAGGTCATGGGCTGTGGGCACGTCAAATTGAGAATCTTTTACCTGAAGCCGTCCACGTTTGTTAATCTTTACTTTTGTTGCTTGTTCATATTTCCCACGCAGATAATCACCTGAAGAAAGGAAAGTTTTAAAAGTTATCAAATTAAACAGAAAAGCCTCTAACCGCGATAAGAACAAAATAACGGTAAGAATAAAGTTACTAATAATGGTTATATTAAACAGCAGTAAAGAAAAACAAGAAAGGAAGCTAACTTCGGGACGCCGAAGTTTGAATACCCTTGCAGATTGGTTTTGATGTTTATATTATAGATTTAAATGCTGAAAACACACACAAAACAGAGTTTCATTACATTTTACCTATTCTTATTATGTTTACAATTTGGCAGTTACAGCCTTACATTCCCAGCTTTAGATTTTCTTTACATCCATCGATCGTTTCTATCGCAGCTATATAATATAGTGTCCGATATTCATAAAATTTATACCAAATTTTCCGAGCCTATAAAGTATATATATTCTTGATCAGCATCAACAGAAGAGTCGATCTAGCCATGTCCGTCTCTGTCCGTCTATCCATTTCTACGCAAACTAGTCCCTCAGTTTTAAAGCTATCTGAATGAAACCTTGCATATAGTCTTTTATATACTCTCACTGCTATATAGTATAAATGTAAGATAATTGGATATTATCTGTGTATTATATTTATTAGTTTATAACAGAGCTTGCAAATAACTGTCGACGGGGTTTTTCCTGTGCTCTCGTTGCGAGTAAAACCGAAAAAGATCATACTCTCTCGCTCTCGCTCAGAGCAAGGGAGTTTTGCTGTCTTCATTTCGGTTTTTTGTTGAACGCTTTTCGTTGAGCTCTTTTTGCTTCGGCCTTTCAATGAGCCGTGCGTAAAGAGCGGGACGAGAAACGTTCGCACACAGAGAGCCAGCAAAAGACCAAGTGACCGAACAGCTCAGCGCGAACGGTCTTCACCTTTGTTTGTTTTTTTTTTAATTTATTTATTTTTGTGAACAAGTGTCCATATAACAAAATGCTATTAAAAAGAAAAGAAAAGTTTTAGACAATGTTGTTTTTAAATCGCAACTAAACGTTTAACGATTTACTTGCCTATGCGTGTGAATGTATACCAATACATACGCAAAAGACTTTTGTTCACTGACCACGGTTCATGGGACAACCGAAACAAAGCAGAATAGAAAAAAACGAGTTCGCTCTGAACGCGCGCGAGCTGATTCCAAGAACTCATGAACGGGTGCTCTCTGAGTCTTTTCGTAAAGAGTGAGAGAGAGACAGATATATGCAGACAATTAGAAACGGTCGACAGTTTTTTGCAAGCTCTGGTTTATAAGGATTATATTTAGGTTTAAAAAGTAATAGGATATTGATTAAGTATTTAACAGCTTATTATCGCGACTTTCGAAGGGTTTTACAACTTATTTTATCTGCTCTACAAACGACGCTACGACTTCTTCAACTTTTCTATATGGCTTCTCTCTCTCTAGTGATGTACGATAGCGACTCCCTCTTGAAGACACTACTCTTGCCGATATTTGTATGGGCTGCCAACTGATGCCCATAACGCCTCCTTACATTCTGCCATCCTGCAAAACATCTGCCCCAGATGTATCATCCTCCTTCGCACTCATGTCGTCATCTTCTTTGTAGTAAGAATAGCGCCACAGCTTCATAAAATCAGCGCTTGTAGATGTTTGTAGTGGACCCTCAAATTCTGCTGCATTTTTGACATCGTATCTGCCGTTTCGTTTAAATTGAGTTACTTCATATGGTCCGATGTATTTATTAGCCAACTTTCTTCCGGTTAGAAACTGCGTTGCTTTGATGGCTACTAGATCACACAACTGATATCCATGATGTCCCTTGCTCTTCTTGTCGTAGTTCTTCTTATAGGTTTCTTGAGCTTTTTGGATTTGTAGCCTAGTTTCTTGCCAAATTCGATTGCGTTCGTCTTGTAGGTTTAAAAGCATTACATCTTGTAGAATCTTATTAAGCTCTGGACTGGAGTTATTCCTCATTCGTTGACCAAACATAACTTCAAAGGGTGTGAAGCTAGTCGATGCGTGGACATGTGCGTTTATAGCCTGCTGCACTTGTGATGTGTATTTATACCATTTTGCTGGTTCCGCTGCTGACATCTTTGAGAGTACAGAAATAATAACTCTGTTGACCCGTTCGATTTGGCCATTGCCCCTTGGTACGCCTGCTGTAGTCTCGATATGTTCAATCTGGTTGTTATTGCAAAATTCTCTAAAAGAATTTTATGTAAACGCAGCTCCTTTATCGCTGATAATTCTTTGAGGACTGCCAAATATTAAAATCCACGATTCCAGATGGCGGATAGCTTCTTCTGCGTTTGTCGACTTAGTAGGGAATATCCAAGTATATATAGAAAAACCATCTACAACAGCGAAAATATACTTGTAGCTTTTCGACGTCAAGTCCAACGAACCTAAATGATCAATGTGCAATGTTGAAAGTGGAATGTCGCCTTTATCTATTGCGTGTAGATAATCCTCTTGTTTACCCAGCTTTTGGTTGTGAGTGATGCATTCAATGCAGTTCGAAGTTACCTGCTTTACTTTCTTTTCCAAGTGTGGTATGTAAAAATCCTGCTGAACTGCATGTATAGTCTTCTGAGTTCCCATGTGGCCAAAGTTATGTGAATTCTGAATTATCTCCTTCTCCATACATTTTGGTACTGCCAGCAAATCTTGTCCATTTATTTGTTTGAAAATTATGTCGTTCTTGACTACATAATCTGCATACGCCTTCTGCTTTAAAATTTCCCTCACCGTTGTTAGATGTTCATCATTCTGCTGCGCTCTTCTGATCTATGCGTGTACCTCCGACGTAACTATCATAAAAGGAAAACGACTCAGGCTATCTACATGCTGCATTCTGGTTCCTGCTAGGTGCTCTGCATTGAAGGTAAAATCTTGTAGGTACATCAGCCACGGCGTCACTTCTCGAGGAATATCTTTCTTGGAGATTGTCTGTTTAAATACTGCACAGTCAGTGACTAAATCAAATTGTGTTCCCAACAAGTAATGTCGAAGTCTCTTCGTTGCTAGGTAAGCTGCCTTTACTTCAAGTACATAGCCTGTAAGCCTTTCTTCTTGTGGCGTTGTTTTCTTACTCCAGTAAAAAACAGGGTACCATTTGCCATCGTGTTGCTGAAGCAGTGTTCCACCGAATCCATGTTTAGATGCATCCACATGCAGTTGTGTTTTAGCGCTTTGACTCCAAATCTTGAGAACAGGTTCATCTATTAGGGCTGATTTTAGTTGTTCTATTGCTTGCTTCTGTTCTCCCTCAATTTTAAACGCCGAATCTTTTTTCAACAGCTGCGTTAAGGGTTAAGCGATAAGGGCGTAATTTTTAATAAACTTACGGAAGTAGCCCGTCAATCCAAGAAACGCTTGTATGCCTCTGATATTTATCGGCATTGGAAAATTTTTAACGGCTTTAACCTTCTCTTTCCCAGGCCATATATCTCCATTTTCCACCTCGTAGCCAAGGAAATTAATACGCTCTTTTAAAAAGGGGCATTTTGACCATTTAATATCGAGGCCATACTGCTCTGCCTGCTTTAGGACTCGCTGCATGTTGTTTAGACATACTTCGACTGTACGTCCAAAAACAACAATGTCGTCTATGTACATCTCCATAACACCTTTATTGATCAGCTGCTGGAAAATATATGTGACATACCTTACGAAAACTGCTGGCGAATTACAAAATCCTAATGGAGCTCTGTTAAATTCGAAAAGTCCCTCCTTTGTCACAAACGCTGTGTATTTGCGGCTGGGTTCATCAATTTCGACGTGGAAGAAACCATTCTTGAGGTCAAAGGCTGAAAAATACTTCGCACCTTGCATCTTATCAAGCACTTCTTCTATGAGTGGAACTGGGAATCGATCTTTCAGAACCATTGTGTTCAAAACGCGGTAGTCTATGCAAAGCCTGTATGTGTTATCCTTCTTCTTAGCTAGGACAACTTTACTCGCAACATCAGAATGGGATTCCTTATATGTCCTGAATCGCATAAGGGACACGTCAGCACCAGTGGCGACTAGACAGGAAACGCTTTTGTTGTTGATGGTAAGGGTCTTGTCCCTTGACTCGCTGATCACACCGATATTTTGATTTTCTCCTCTACAATTGCGTGATGTGTGCCCACTGCCGCTGCACTTAAAACATTTAGTCTCCTCTTTGCATTCAGCTCTCATATGCTCGGGTGAGCCGCAGTTAAAACAATACCTTTTGTTTTGGTTTTGTTGCTGTTCGAATCGCCTCCCTGGTTTTACTGCTTTGCCAAAATCACTCTGCCGCACTGCTTGCTTTCGTCCGACTGTTGGTTTTGTCATCATTTCGATCGTTTCAAATCGGCTTCGCAACTCCTTAAAACTTGGTGCACTGTAAAGAGGATATTTAAGATCGTTACTCAGCTTAAGTTCATCTGCAATACAACGGATCACCGATTTATCTTCAACCAATCCTTGAGCAGCTATCTTTCGCATATGCAACACGTATTCATGAAAGTTCTCGTTCACATTTTTCTTTCGTTCTCCCTGCTTGTGCACTTCAGCACTGCTTAGCGATTTATCAAATTCATCCAACAATACGGCAGTTAAATTCTCATACGTTGACACAGTGGTAGACTCGAGAAATAACTTAGCTGTGCCCTTCATTTTCATACGAGCGTTCACATATTTCTGCTTGGTGGTCAGCTCATAGGCATCTGCGTTCTCGTCAAAACATTTTAGCCACTGCATAATTGGGATTGAAACTCCATCAAAATCTGGCACAACTTTAGAGAAACTTTCAATTGGAATGGCATTCCTGTTGGAATCGCTTTGTCCAATTTTCGCTGCAAGCAGTTCGAGCACTTCGCTCTGTTCGTTATTGTTGGGTACTTCTTCATGGCCTGTTGTGAATTTCAGCGTGTGAAATTCAGAATTTGCGTCTCCGCCACTTGCAAAGTTTTCGATCTCATTCCTACCGATTTTTTCCTTTTCGCTTTGGTCTTCGTTCGGCGGCAAGAAAAATGTTGTACTCAAATCCATCTCTTTGACTTCTGCGT